AATTTTTTTCAAAAGTGCACTTGCCTTATTCTCCAAATAAACGGTAATATTAGAATAGCGCTACCGTCTGGTCTGAGCATGCTTCCAATAATTTTATCAAATGATTTCACATGAAATCGCTAGCGTTTACATTGCCTTCATTAAAGGCATTAAATGACTAAGTTCAACTTATCATGTAAACATATGCGTTTCGTGTACATGTAAACATATAATGGTTAATAATAATAAAATAAAGAAATCCTAAAAGAAATTTGTAAAAAAAAGCAAACATTAAAATATTTAAGCAATAAACAATTTATGCTGCTGCCGCTTCAATTTCACTTAGGGGATTAGCGTTCTATTTGGAGCATTTGTAATACATGGCCTCTTTGCTCTTTCCCGGCATAGTTTGCTTCGAGCACTTTTTTTGTTGAAGGTCAAAGGCAACGATAAAACAACGCTACATCATTGGTCACTTGTTTGGCACTAAAGGTAAGGAAATAAATTTCATTAAAATCACGAATTTTCCATAATTTCACTCGATATCTTCTTTATGTGATGAAAAGTTTGATTTTATCCGTGATTTTAGTTGAAATTTTCCTCACTGCATCATGTCATTCAATAAGTCTACAGTCTGACACAGATATGGCAACACTATTGATAAACCTTGGTAGTCAAATAGTCATGAAATTTTGACAAAATATTAATTTTGATTTAGCGTTTCGGGCCTAGGCCTTTCAACTCTATCGCCATCTATTTGTCAGACGGGAACCTTATTGAATGATTTGTTAAATGAGATTCAAATGCTATTCCAAGACTGACTGCTGTTCGTGCTGACTGCTATAGTTTCTATATTTCAGAAAAACTCGCCTTGTTTTAAGATAAGTCAATTAATAAACCCCATTACAAATTTCCTCGATTTTATCCTCTTTCCATCGCTTTGTGCATAAAGTTTGTGAACAAAATTCATTCCAAGACTTCTTGAACTAGTTTTAGAGATTTCCTTACACTTCAAGGTTATGTCACCGAAATTACGATTTTTTAATGAATTCATTTGATCGTTTACTTGATTTTAAATGAAAACACAAAAATACCTGAGATCATTAAAATGATCTTCAGCCTAAAATTCCTAGCAGACCACACACACAAAAGACGAGGACCACAAAATTACGATTACGATTAAATACATACCAAATCTAACCATAGTGAAACGCATCAGCTAGTTCTTGAGGTAAGTAGTAAAGTATTGTGTCATAAATGGTTTTGCTGAAGTGTTTTACTTACTAGCATCTACGTAACGAAAGAAAGTAACGTGGGCTAACTGAATTTGAAGGCTTGGGCCGCGGAGAAATAAGCTTAAGCCAAAAATGTTTACTATAAGCAAACGAGGTGAAGTCAAGATTGACTTACATTATTTCTCCGGTCTAAGATGTTGTCCTTCATTCAGACGCACTTGTAAAGCTACGTAACATTCATTACTGATCTTTTCTTCGTTTTCAAAATAGCCAACGAATATTACTCCATGCATATCCCAAAATACGGACGTAATAGGCTCCCCTAACTACTTTTGATTTCCTAGTTGCTTTGGACGGCCTTCACGAGATGTTGTCCACTCGACTAATTGCCAATGTGACCCTAGGGTGAGGTGACGATTTAATGTTTTATCCATTGTCATATAACGCATGGAAAAATCCTTTCCCTTTCCCCTAAACGACCCCACTACGTTTAAGTTTTTGACCAAAGGTCAGCAAAGGCAACATCCACTGCAAACAGACGTTTCTCATGGAAGAATGTTCGTCCAAAATATAAAATACACTACCTCCTGACACCTCTAGGATGTCAGATATTTCGCACAATCTCCCCAAAATGATATCGTGCGCTTTTTTTTATGTTTCCTGGAGCGACTGCCGAAGTCGGGTCTCCAGCGCATCATCGGTATCCGTGTGGCTCTGCTTAAAAGCAGCAAATCACTCACAAATTTATGTCTTCAACAGTCAAGTCTCGGCACAACATTTTCCAAGACAATGATGATTGTTAACTACATTTTTTTCTCATCAAAAAATGAAATTTAAATTCTTCCATTGTTTTGAAAATTATAAAAGTGACGTCACTAAAATCACGGTAGCCTGTAACTTGGCAGTCAGAACGTCATGCAATTTTGACATTTGTAGTTCGAAGATTGCCACTCTCAGTGTTGCCCTATACGCGTCAGAACGAAAACGTATTGACTGATGTGGTGTAAATGAGAAAAAGTTAATTTTCTATGAATTTTCCATACAATGCTCTTTACTTGCGTTCTTGAAAAAAGCAATTAACTCAATAATGAGAGTTCGCTGAAGCAGTGAATCACCGAAGGCTGAGGGGTATATTCATTTTGCCAAAACGTTTGCAACACCCAGAAGGGACCCCACAAAGTAAATATGCTCATGATCAGCATCAAGTTCTGAATCTATTTAGGCATGTTCGCCTCTCCGCCTATCTGCGTACCCGTCCGTCCGCCCGTCTGTGTAATGTTTGTTTTAAACGTTCTCCTAGCCGCAAAAATGAATCTATCGCCTCCAAATTTGGCAGACGTATTGAAATTTTTCGTACGCAGGTTGGTATTGAAAATGAGCTTAATCGCTCCGCGCTTACACGCTTACAGCACTACGTAAAGTGAGAACACCTCTGACTTTCGGAAGGAATAAAAAAAATGATTTTTTTGATTACTACTTATGGGCTATGGAAGATAAATGTGCAAACATTTGAAAGTGTGTTCTATAGGCAATGCTGTGGTATCCACACTAGATTGGAAAGAACTGACCGCACCTACCCAATATTATAGTATGTCATTTAATTTTTTTTTTTTCAAGATCTTTACAACGCGAAGAGGCAAACTTGGATAACCCCGTAAAGTATATAAATTTTTTCCCAGCTTCAAATTTGAAATGCACCTAGACAGGTCCGTTCGTTCGTCTATCGCTCTGCCCAACTGTAGTGTATGTTGCAAGCATTCTCCCGTTAGCGAAGATGGAGATTTCGCCTACAAATTTGGCAGACGTATTGAAAGTTTTCGTACGCAAGTTGGTATTGAAAATGAGCTTAATCGCTCTGTGGACACGCTTACAGCACTACGTGAGAACACCTCTGACTTTCGAAATGACTTAGATTTTTCCAAGGACACCGCTATAACGCCCACACGCCTAAGGAAAATTGTTATTGCAAAAATAGAAAAAATCAGTCATGTCACTCCATGCTACAGAGCATAAAAGTGTAGTTCTTTTACTTGTTTTGTCTGTTTTTAGGATGACTGTGGAGGGTATAAAAGATTCGGTCATGACCGAATATAATTCTCCCCCATACACATACCTATATTTTTTTTAAATCATTATCGATGAAATCATTTTTCATGTCGCTGTATTATAAATCAAATATGTCGGATTTATTTCACGAAAAGTTTTTATAGACTTTCCCTCGATATTATATTCCATAATCATAATTTATTTCTGTTCTATTCAATTAAGTAGCATCTTACAGCGTTTAATGGTCATCGTAGAGTGTTAAGGTAAAAACAAGAAAGAATTTATATTACGAATCTACTAAGATTTACAGCTAGTTGAGGTACGACATTGTGCTGCACAAAAAAACAGCATTTAAATGTTCCGGTTTATTTAAATACGGTGTGTGTGGGGTACGAACAAATAAAACTCTCTGTACGCACGGAATTTAAGGCTAATTGTACAAAGTAATCGCTATAGTTGGACACTTTCGCTTTATTTGTCTGTTACAGGACCACTTGGCTAGCTTTCGACTTTGAAACATGAATTTTGTTGCGAGGCAATTTTAGTTGCATCACTTATGAAAAAGGCCTGGGGTCGCTTTTGCTTGTTTCGAACATAACAGAAATTCTGCGTCAACTTCCTTTTCCTAGAGAGGTCAGAAAATCGTGACTTTAGTGGGCAAATGAAGTGAAATCAATTCAATCTAAGCTAGATATTGCCTTTGCCTATTCCAATGCAGAATCCAAATATCTCAATAATTCCAAGCCTTTCCGATTAGATTAAGAAACAATCAGGCATCAAGTTTTTCGTTTCTAAAGATATTTTTAATGACGTCGAGGAAAATATTGATAGCTGGGCAGGTGTGATGAAACAGATGAACGTTCGCAACGATATCCGAACAGATAGACAGATGTACACCAGGACGAACGAAGAGACAGTAGCGGAAAGAGCAACTGGTGAAATGGAGGGAGGAAAATGTTAAAGGATAAGTGGATAGACGGGTAGCTGGGCAGGCTAGCGATAATATGGCCAAGCATGTGAAAAGACATGCCAACGGAACGATCGTAACGATAGCAAGCCAAACCGGGCACGAAATAGGCTAACAAACGGATGGGCATGCTGACAGATGGATATAAAACAAGTTAAAGGTGTGAAGGGAACAAGTGAAAAAACACCTGCGTGGATAGCAAAGGACAGATAAAGGAATATAGACAAGATGCCCAAAGGGAGATAGACGGAGGTATAGGCGGTAAAAAGGACGCAAAGACGTGGAAGGTGATTGGGTCGTCTTAACTGAGCCTCCACAGGAATCTTTCGGTTTTGAAAAATATAAATAAAAATTTCTAAAGCCATTTCTGAAAAGAGATGGCTCGGACTCTTCTCCCGATACGTTCACCCAGTGCGTTATCTGCGCAAACATTTACATAAAATTTCTAAAGGGGAAAGACATGAGGAGAAGTTTCCAATAAAGTTATGTTTAAAAATAAAGAAAAGTTGGAGCAGAATTCAGTTAAGTAAATGAGCCTGAGAACATTAAAAAACGAAAGAGCCTACCGACGGCCTTAAATACATTGAGTGAGAATTTCTTTCTTAAGCTAAAGAGTAATAATTAAGTTATAGCATCCGTAGGTCTTAGACATATAGTGGGCACTCGTCACCGTAGTTTCTTTTTTTCTGTTAAACTTTGTGCAAATATTTAATTTTGGACATGCGTTTAATAAAGGAACAGGATCCCTTGAGGGTGCATTTGAACATATTTACCTTATTTTCATGATCCAAAGTAAAAATATCAAGAACTTGTTACGTTTATACAACATTTCTTGACAGTGCTACACATGCGTAGTCTCATATTATGCTGACTGATACAATTCGATTAACTTGCGTGTATACAGTTGTTTGATGAAATAAACAGGCGCAGACTGATGTATACGAACTGTTGAGAAAATAAATTGTTTTTCTTTTTTTTTTCTTTTTTATTATATTATAAAGTAATTCAGTTAGTATCGCGTCGAAGATTTTCTTTTTTCTTTTCTTTCAAACATAAACAATTTTTCTTTTTTTTTTTTTTTAAGTTGAATCTCTTTTGCTATATAAAAAATTATTATAAAGAGAAGATAAAGTTACACTGAAATGCTTTTTTGTTCAAGGGATATTAGGCCAAATGCGATTTATTTTTTTTTTTATATACATAAATCTTATTATTATTATTATATATATGAATATATATATATATACACACACTTGTATGTTTATATATTAATGTGAAAAGCTTTAAGGAACAGCGAAAAAGATTTTTTTAATGATTCACACAACATTTTTTCTTTTGTCTTTTCTTAGTTTTTTTTTTTATTTTTTTTATTTATTATAAAACACAACAAGTCTTATTTATATTAAATAAAGTACAAAGAAATGTTGAAAGTTAAGATGAACCAAAAATTCCAAAATTCATTTAATTCATAATCACATACACACACACACACACACACACGAGAAATAACCATAGTCTGACACTAACACTGATTCTAAGTTATATGTGAGCTCAATATATTTTATATTACCTATTATGTTACCATCGCGCACATCACATATTTAGGTTCGACTACATTCTTACATACATATAGCTATTCTTTTTCGCTTTTTTTGTTTCTTTTTTGTTTTGTTCGGCAATCATTTCGACATAACAGCAACAGAAACGGCACCAACAACAAGAAAAACACAATTGGCAATGAAATTAAGTTATTATTGCTGTATGATGTGCATATATGCGTGCATGCGTGTGTGTATGTGTGTATATGTGTGTGATGTTACTGCAAGGAAAACCGAAAACGATAAATAAATAAATAAACAGACAAATGTGTGAATTGTAATACGCAAACATACAACGCACACACACACACACACACGCACACACACACACACACGTAAGCGCCTAAGCCCGTTAAGGCATGCACACATGCGCTCGGGCATAGATTTTCAGCGACTCTAGTCAACCTTCAACGTGAGGCTGGTTGCTTTAAATCTGGCTGCTGCTGCTGCGGCTGCTGGTGGTAAAAGAATGGTAGAATTTGCATAAATCATCATCAGCATCAATCATCATTTAATCATCAGATGAGGCAGAAGCACCAGCAACAGCAGCAGTCCACACACAACTTACTTATAAACTTTTTCATTGTTATTGTTGTTCTTCTTGTTGTTATTTATATATATATATATTTTTTTTTTTTTTCTCTTCACTTTTTTTTTTTCGTTTTGCTGGATGGTGGTGGTTGATTGTTGGTGGATTGTTTGCCGTGTGTTAAAGCGTTAAAGTGTCTTGCAGAGCATTAAGATTTCTCTATAAGACGCCTGTTTGCATCCTGCATTTTTTGAATCGCAGGAGATTTTCGCATTTGCATATGCATATGACTGACAAACGTGGATGCATGCATTCAACAAGCGAGTCAGCCAGCAAGCAAGCATGAATACCTGTTGCCGACTTTTTTTCTTTTTGTTCCTCTAAATCAGAAAACATTTCTTTCGCTTATGGTTTTTTTTTTTGTTTTGTTCGTTTTCTTCCTTTTTTTTTTTTTTATTTTTGATGTATGTTTTGGGTATTATTTGAATTAATAGCAACTAATGCCTTAAGTGTTGGCACCGATAGCACATTGAAATGAATAAACGTACTTTATATAATCTTTTATAATAACAGCAACAACAACAACAATAACAACAACAAGAAGAAAATGTACAGAATGATGAATAATGAATAATGTATAAAGAGCCTGGGTGGATATGTTAACTGCTGGCTATAACTGTAGCCAGGTTTACACGCACATGTGTACGTTTATATATATATATATATATATATATATATATATATATATATATATATGTGTGTATCAATAAATCGAGGGCATAGTGTGATAGCATGGCAGTCATTTAACACAGCAGGTGAAAACTATTTAAAAAACATTAAATATGCTAATAATGGTCCGTGTTTTTTTTTTATGACTTTTAATTAAGCCTATCTCTCCCTCTCTGTTGTCCATTGCCGAACTTATTTAAGTTGGTGTTTTTTTTTTTTGGTTTTTTTTTTTTTTTAACTTAGCAACTTACAATGCTTTACGCGTTCTATTATTAATTCAATTTTTTTTATTTTTTATATTTTTTTTTTTTTTATTTATTTATTTATTTATTTTGTTTTTGTTTATATATAATTTTTCATGAAAAGTTTCTGCAGCTTAATAAGATTTCGTTTTTCATCGTTTTTATCGTTAACTCGCGTTAATGGCTTCTGTTACGCGTTTCTGACTGTCTGACTGTCGAGTAAGAACTAAAACCAAAACCTTGATTTGATGCTTTGAACGGAATACAACAGCATTTGTTGCAGTGATTTTATGTTTTGAATTTTTTTAACCATAACGTTGGCAGCGTTGCCTCTACACACACGTTTGACGTCACATTCCAACTCATACAAGCCATGTTTGATACTCGCCATCATGTTGATAAATTGATTACTGATAATTGAATAAATAGGCTGACTGAACAAAACCAACAAAAATAAATAAATTAATAAATAAAAAGAAAAAAATATATATATAAAAGAGTTATCAAGTTATGCACGCATATATAGAAGTAAGTGGCAAGAAAGCTTTCAAAACCAACTTTTTATTTCGGTCATCAAAGATTGGTTTCAATGAAACCAACATTCTTCGCATTAAGCAACACTTCAGAGACCGATGAAGATGATCAGAATGAGGTGCTAACACAATTTAAAGACTTTCCTTAGTTCGGTCGCCCATTTGATCCCTGCCATTGCAATCGCCAAGCACGTCAATCAAACACATTGCGCTAAGTAAGATGTTTAGCTAATTTAGTTAAACTTTGATTTACCGAATATCTAGCTTAGTAGCTACGTAAGCTTTTTCCCTTCACTATTAAAATCCCCAAATGGCCGAAGGTAAGCTAGATACAGAGTAAAGTAAAATTTTTATTCTTTTCTCAATTCTTTCACAAAATGTTTGCTATTGAGATTATCAAAAGTCTCATCAAGTCCACTTATCTCTCTCTGTCCGTCTATCTGTCCTTCTAACGGGTGCTTTGTGTTTGAATAGACGTAAGGTGGTCGTTGGTAATATCTAGATATCTATCTGCCTAAGACAAAATATTGAATCGGACAAGCTAAATATAGCTGTCCTTCCGTCCAATCCGTACACTATCTATGCGTTCGCATAAACGTACGCACCCTTTTACTCTTTCGCAGCAAATGCCATATGTGTACAGCAGCCATTAATTGTATTTTGCGCATTACAAGAACACAGTGTTGGGAAAGTATGGTTCAGTTGCGCTGGCGTGAAAGGCGGCAAACTATGGTACTGGTGTACCGCCATGATAGGTCTAATAAAAAAACGGGAGCCAAAAGTGTCACAAGTAATAACGCTGAGTCAATTGGCCTAAGTACACTTCTCCATTTGCTTATCCGTCTTTCTTTCACGTGTTTTTGCATTTGCGCAAACTTAGATGCTTCTCAATAAGGCATAGTCGGCAGAAAAATAAAAAATACATTTAGCAATCCGTGCAGTTACTCGTCCGTTTACGCCAAGGTAATTTATAGTACGTTCGAATGAACTTCGTATCTTCTGACTCGTAAGTCTCCTAAAGTGAAATATTACGCACATGCATTGCTACATTGCTAAGTACGCTTGTCCGCCTATCCGCCCGCTCTTCCAGCATACTGCGTAGCCTTTGCAAGAGGATATGCTGAGTTGATCGCTCTTGCTTCCATTCCGTGTGTCCGTCCTTCTCTTATGGAGACCCATCGAAAAATTTTCGCACTTTTTCAGCTAGCCAAGCCATGCTGCACCGAGCTGAATAAGTGAAAATCAGAAGGCGCCATGTTTGGTGAGTATGCTGGATGTGGCAGACAATGCAAGAGTGTATCCTGGACATCTCTTGCAAAAATTGGACGAAAAAAGTGGTTCAGTCAATTCATGTCGCCGCTTTTAAACCGTTGAGACCATATGATGGAGCAGCATCACGATATGTGTTTGGTGGGCTTCGGCAGGAAATTTCTTCAAACAAACAACAAAAGTAATGAATATGGAAGAAGAGTAATTTTGAGCGCTCCATGGTTAGTTTCGTCGTGCGCTCACTAAATCAATAATATTGGATCGAAAACTACTATTTTATGTAGAGAAAGGTCGAAATCATCGAATTTAGTCGTTATGTACCCTAGTATGTCCCACCTGTAGAAATCGCTGACCAAACCTTTTGCAACCGCCTAATAAGTTTAAGTTTTCAAGTTTATTATGTTTTAAAATTTGAAAAAGTCGCAGAGGCGATTATTTATTTTGTATATTTTTCCCCAATAAGTAAAATCTTCAATTATCATTCAGTCATTCAGTCATTTGATTAGCAAGGTCACAATCATTTAAATTCTGAGTTTTCACATAAATTGTACGAACTAATTAACACGAGAGAGAAAAAGAAGAAATTATGTCTAGCTTTAAACGAATTTTGTCTTACCTATCAACACTTTTTTCTTTTTTTGTTTTTGAACTTGTAGTGAAAATGCGGCGAGAAATGTGCAGTCCCGTACTTGAAAAGTCATCAGCTCTCCGCCGCTTACAATTTTTAACGCCCCTACAAGCACTTGTGGGACCATCGCGTCTGCATTTTTCAAGTCTGACAACAGTTAGCCTTGGCTCAGGCCATTACAAGCCATTACTCCTCATTTCTATATAAATTTCTGTTGCTTGAAGAGTTGAAACATCAATGCATTGACAGACAGACAGATAGATAGCCTTTTCAATTCCTAAAAATTCTCGAGTTTCCATTCGTTTTTTTTTTTTTTTTGCGTTTTCTCTAAATACTCAGAAACGACTATGACTATTAACAGGTTACCTTCCTTTAGAAGTAAGAAGAAGAATAAAAGCATCTATATGTCATATATGAAACCTATTAAATATTATGACATTCTATTAAAACTTATGCAAATTTCACAAATTGAAAAATTAATGAACTAATCATCGGTTAGACAAATTATATTGTAAATTAGTGATTAATAGCATTATAGTCAAGTCAAGTCAAGTTAAGTCAAGTCAAACATTAACATATAACGAGTGAAACAACTTATTTAGAGAGTTTGTGTCTTTAGGTCTTTTGTT